GTTAATCCCAAACTCATCGGTCTGCTCCTCCTCTGTACGTCCCTCCCCTCCCCTCTGCTGCTAGTCTTTTCTTTCGTTTTCCCTCCCTCCCTTTATTAAAGTATGAAAGGGGTGTCTCTCTCACTACCATTTGTACTCCAAGGGGCACAGAGCCTCAGAGCAGAAGCTGCCACAGAGAGCTTGTGACTGAAAGGACAGGAAGAGGAAAGTAACTAAACACAAGGAATCATAAACCAATCAGAGAATCATCTACGTCCCCAAGAAGACAATTACAGCATGGAGGTCCCCAGCATCCGTGGACACATGGGAACTGAGAAGTACCAGATGCTGGAGCTCAACAAGAGTTTGGGTACTAGGTACATTCCATTTGATGATGCAAGCAGAATTGTGCAAAATATTCGTCATTTACAGAAATCATATGGATTATGATTAATTACACTTTTTCCTCAAATGACAATTAACAGTTACAAAACAGTTAAATCACATGAAAGCATCAATATGGTAGTGTTTTGTGAAATTCCTCTGCTGAAGACCAAGCAGGCCTGAGACCTCGTCAGACTTCTGTGGAACCTTGGATGAATCGGCTGAAATTGAGTGAGGAAGAAGTGGTTTGATCTGAAAAATGATCGGAGCCCTATTGTTTGGCGGCTTTGCCAGTGGCCTGTCACAGAAAGAGAGGGACCTAGCATGGGACAGGTGACACATGCAGGTAATGCTGTATCGCCTGTAATGAGGATGGTGACAGAGCTGAGGGAGAAGTGGTTCCTCTGAAAATGCCTTCAGTGCCATCATAGGTGAAACATCTCTAACAGCTTCATCACCCATGGATGAGGATGAGCTGTGCTACAGGAATCAGTAAAATACTTGTATGGTTGCATTTAATTGGCAGCTGCAAGTAATATGTGTCATATGCTGCAGTAGCCCAACATATCCTATGTGTGGATCGGTTTGCTTCAATTACGCTTCTCTACCACTAGGGGTCTCTGCATACACATTGGGTGGGGGTGTTCATAAATATACGCACATTTCTAAGCACAGGAAGAAATTGATAAATACCATCCTATATGTAAAAATGTGCATCTGCACAGTTTACGCACAAAGTTGTTCGTACGCATGGTTGATAAATGAAACCCCAGGCACTGCTCCTTTCCAAGCTTTTATTTGTTTTATTTGTGACGTTTATCTGCTTTTTCACATCTATAACAGACATTTGTCTGAAGGCTGAAAGGCAGAACTGTTACACAGGTAGCTGGTCCCAGCAGCATCAGAGGCCTCCGTCCAGCAGACCAGCGGAGAGCCGGTACCGCTAACGGACCTCAGAGCAGCAGGGCCTTGTTCTCACAGATCCACCGGTTACGCATGTCAGGCCAAGCTTGTCTCCAGCTGTTCAGGGTTTTACGGTCTATGTTCGTTAAAACATGAGTTCCATTCTGTTTTCCAGCATCTGCCCAGAACCTGAAACAGGAGGAACAGTTTGGGATTTAAATTCAATACAAAAGCTTGACAACTTAAATACTTTTAATACTTGATGTTTACAATTTGAGATTCTCAGGAACATTTGATATGTGACAGGAATTTGTCTTTGTACTGTGCTCTGTCGTGTTAGATATCAAAGGCAAGGTGTAGAAGCTACTGGTGAACTGAATTGGGGCGATCTCTCACGCCGCCGTGGTACAAGCTCTCACCCTGTGGTCAGTGAAGAGCCGTTGATCCAGACCCA